GAAGAGAAGAGAAGAGAAGAGAAGAGAAGAGAAGAGAAGAGAAGAGAAGAGAAGAGGGGTGAAAAGAAAAAAAGTAGAAGGGGCTGCTTGACTGTTTTATAGGGAATTTTTTTCTTTTCAGTTTTCTGATTTTTTTAAAAATTTGCTGTGTTAAAATTCGCCTTTTGAATTCTCGGTTCAACCCCCACCTTCGTGTAAAGCTTATGCAGCAACAGTAATAACATTCATTAAAAAAAAACCAACAATATTGATGAATCAGGGGCTATACTGCCATGTATGTAATTCTATGTATGTATGCTATTCCTTCCCCCCCTTTTTTTCTTTGTTTTGTTTTTCCCAGTGGCTTTTAATATATTTAAAAATACATGTAGGAAGGGAACTAAATTTCCAGCAGGGGTGTTGCCAGGGAGGGGTCAAAAACATCAAGATGGTCGCTGAGATGGTGGAATCAAAACTCTGCTTGGTTTTTATGTGAGTGCGAGGTGGACACCCCGATTTCAAATTAGTCCATCAGACAAGATGGTAAAGGAAAAGACCAGCAATTTCCAGTGTGTGTCTAAGCAAAAAGGTGGGCCTTGCATTGCGATCTTCTGTCTGCCATCTTGACAATTTTAACACACACCCTCTGGGTAAACTGTTTTCAAGTCTAACTTGAGTCCTAGTGTGAGATGACTGGCACATCCATGAAGTATAGAAAGTTTCCCACTGCTGCATTCTGGGATTTTTTAATTTACTTCCCAGTCTGGTCTACAGTTCTGGGATCTCCTCTTGGTCTCTCATCCCAGGACAACCAATTCTACTTTGCGTTCTGGGATGAACCAAGGTTGAGTAGGTGCTTCTACCTGTTGAATACAGTAATGGAGAAACTCTCTCAAGTGGGGTTCTAAGTTAGCTCCAAGACTAACCAGGACGGATCCAACTTGGTGTAATCAGCTGTGGTTGGCAGTGCTCAGCTAACCATGGCTGATTACAACAAGTTGGATCAGGCTTGGTTAGTCTTGGAGTAACCACCAGCTGTAATTTGGTGTTATTGCAGTTCTAGAAATCATGGACCTTAATTCACAGTACCACCCCGACAGTTATTGTTATTATTAATTTTATTATTAATATCCCACCTTTATTTTGCACAACTCAAGGAGGCACTCATAACTAACACTCCTTCCTCTTATTTCACTGCAAAACAACACCCCCGTAAGGTGGGTTGGTCCGAGAGAGGGGGGCCAGCCCAAAGCCACCAGTCAGCTTTTGTACCTAAAGGAGGACTAGAACTCATGGTCTCCCATGAGTTAAATTAAAATTCAATCCCATTCATATTACTGTCATTGTGATTGGATTTCTAACATCCTTCCATCCACGTGGATCATGCTTTTCAGACGAACATGAGCAAAAAGCTAATCTTATCATTTAGATTTTTGACAGGGGAGGAGACAAGAGGAACAGAACATACCAGCCCAAGGTTTTTTGCCACCACAGAGACTACCCCAGTTTTATTTCCCTGTTTCTCTTCCCTTTAACCCAGTCTTTCTCAACCTTGGCCGCTTGAAGATGTGTGGACTTCAACTCCCAGAATTCCCCCCCCAGCCCTGCTGGGTGGGGGAGTCTGTGAGTTGGAGACCACACCACTTCCAACGGCCCACGGGGAGGAAGAATGGGGGTAAGGGGGGGGGAA